CCATATTAAACACACGAATTCATTCACTAGCTCAATCACTAAATTTACTTTCAAAATCTACCACGATTCTAACTGTAGAAGTCATAACATAATTTACCTCCTAGAATGCACACTATGCCAGAAACAATATGTAGGAAAATCTGAATGGCCCTTTCACTACAAAATTAATAATTATCGCAATCGAATTAAGTCGAACCCCCATGAAAAATTATTACCTGTAGAACAACATTTCCGCCTGGAAAAACACGATTTCAAAACCCATGCCAAATTCACTATAATTGAGAGAATAGAAAAGTTCAGAGCAGATAACATTAGAAAGATTTTAGAGTTCTATGAAAATAAGTGGATACAACGTTTAAAAACACACTATCAAGCCGGGCTAAACCAAAAAATTTAACAATATAGATAGTATTAATATATAACACTACAAATCAAAACTTACCCACATTTCTCACCCACACAAGACAGACCTGCTTACGGAGGTTTTTGAGGCCTCACACTTATACACACACCCACACGAATATACACACTTACACACATCATACTCACTCACTCCCTAATGAGCCAAATGATAACACACACCCACAGCAATATACACACGATTACACATATCATACTCACTCACTCCCTAAGAACCAAATAACACACACACAAACACTAAACAGAGACACATCCCCTCTCCAGGACCAATAAAACTGTCAAACTGACCAAAGGAATTCAGAGAAGCATAGATCCATCCAGCTCTTATCTCAAATAACAACTTAAAAGAGACTGTTTGACCAACACAAGGAATGTTAAAAGATTCATGTTAAAAAGATAAAAAAATTTTAAAAAAACAAATGAAAACTACAGACAAAAGTTCATTTTTTCCATCAAGACATTCATTTCTGTAGTTTACTGCTACCAGCAAGCAGAAATATTTCTTCTCCCGATGATGGCCATGTTGGCCAAAACTAGCCAAGAAATCTAAATGAAATAATAATAAAAAAAAACGAAAGAATATTAATCTACAACCCAGTGTGTCTGAAGATTTTAATTTTTTTAATATTTTTTTATTGTTCAATATATATATATATATATATATATATGAACATAGAAGTCAACACTTAGAGGCGACAGTCTGTTTCATGCTATATGCAATCGTCACAACACGGTGATTTTCTCTTGTTCTTCAATAACGACACTAAAAAGCTTAGCCGTGAATATGGAAGAATCCAATTAAAAATAAGTAGACAGAACTCGTCTAAATTATTCAAATCGAAACATGTGTCAATGAAGAAAACATGCTGCCAAAAATATACGCATATATATATATATATATATATATATATATATATATATATATATATATATATATATATATATATATATATCGAGAAAGCCAGGGATAGATATATATATATATATATATATATATATATATATATATATATATATATATATATATATATATATGTGTGTGTGTGTGTATGAAGGAATCATCTGTTAAATATTTTTTCTTAAATTGTCATTGCTAAATTATAAAGTGTACCGTAACACATTAGGGTATCACATGCACTGAATCTATAGCAGTAGTGGATGTGTCTAGGACAAGAAAACCTAATGAAGTACATGTGGTTTCGAATTTAGGCTTCTCCTTTTCCTAGACTGGTTGCCTTATGAAAGCTAAATATCTTAGTCTGCCGTATTATTTAAGTGTATTTAAATTTGTAGTTTTCCAAATAAACTTCAATTCGGTTCCATTTTTCACTCCGGTATCCACACTACGCTACCCGCTTAACATCCTGACTAATTATAGGTGCGTTTTATGCGAAGGGGAAAAATTGGTATTTTTTTCCCCCTTCTTTCCCTTCTGGAAATCAAGTTTACCGAGCTGAACACTCTCACAGAAAATAGATAACAATTTCAACCATATCAATTTCCTTTTCTTATTTGCCGTTTTTCTTTTCTTTACTTTACTTTTCTTTATTCTTCGATCTTTACGGAGGCTACGGGCATCAGAAGATTAAATAGCAAGGGATTATTGTATTATGCTAATCTTTTAACCGAGAGTGTCCTGCCTGCTTTGAAAACCAACAACGGAAATCCTTATTTTATCAAGGATCGAACATACACCTCTGGCAACAGGAAATAACTATTCCAGCTCCGACGTACGCCACTTTTACGAAGAAGGGCAAAATAGTTAACAAGCTCATCTTGCTAATGGCGTAAATTCAATCCTAGTGGGTATCCCCCTATTTTTGACCTTGTGCCATACAAAGCTAAGCTTAGTTAATGACTTTTCATCCTTTCTTAAAGGATTGAACATAAGTTCCTTAAAGAGTTCTTTTTCCTTGCATATTCTCCTTTTCTTTCATTCTTCTTCTTTACCTCTTTTCCTGGAGAGCGCTTTGGCCAAACCGGAAATGCTCGTTCCCTCTCAATGGCTCCTCTCTCTCTCTCTCTTACTCTCTGTCTCTCTCTCTCGATTCAGTGTCGCCTCGCCGCTTGACATTGATAACATTCAGCAGTATCTCATCAACGAATGCCAATCAAGGGAGACCACTGGGACTGTAAGTTATAGCATTGGATGATCTGACTTTGAACGCGGGGAAGAAAAGGAACGAAAACGATTCGCTGGGGAGAAGAACTCATGATACTCACCCGCCAGGGAGTCAGGATCGACATTTTCTCCCGCAAGGCTTCCGTTCGGAATTGTGCTCCCACGCGCAAACATGTCGTTCTCTTGAATCATCCTTTCCTTCTTTTGGTTCTTCTGTCTTTACCTCTTCCGACACTAATTTCTTCGTTGTCTTTTTCCCGCCATCTCTCTTCCTCGCCATCTCTTTTTCCCGCCATCACTTTGCCACCATTTCTTTTCCCGCCATCTCTTCATCTATTACGATATCTAATCTTCAATCACTTATTCTTATTTGCAGTGGCTTCGTATATGCAGTGACCATGTTTGCACAGCTTTTTAATGATTTCCTTAGATGTCTTTTCTTCCCAATCTTTATCTTTCAATGTTAAATGATCGACTTTTACACGAGCATATGCTGTATGTATAGAGGCTTGACGAAAGTATATATACAATAGCTCAATTTACAAACCAGAGTTATTTTTATTTAACAACGTAAACAATTAAAAATATTTTATTATGAAAATTCAAATTAAATTCCCATTATCAGAACTGACATAGAGAATACATATCTTGATGTTCACGTAGTGCAACTGATATATAGAATCAGCAGGCCGACAATTCAGTTGTATTCAATTTTGTACTGATGCGCTAATGAAAGGAGTGAATTCGTTTCTACCTTCCCTAGTAATATTTTAAATAGAAGGGTAGATTGGGTCATCTAGCCTTGGCTAGCTACCAATCTAAAGAATGGAAACTTTGCAATTCTAAATCGAGGACTTGGCAACGCAAAAGCACTGTGCTATCTCCCCCATGAAAGCATGGAAATTCCCAGATAATATAGACTAGGAATGTCTGCATGAGACGTGAAGAATTATGAAAGGAAAAAACAAATGTATCAGATTTGTCTATATTTCTGAGATGAGGTATTATAACTATTTACACTATTTACATTCTTTGGACTGTTGTTCTCATCTTTATTGTCACATTCACGACGTTTCTTCTATTGCCCGCTCCGACCTTCTTCAGGATCTTGTTATATTTCTGAGATGAGGTATTATAACTATTTACACTATTTACATTCTTTGGACTGTTGTTCTCATCTTTATTGTCACATTCACGACGTTTCTTCCGTTGCCCGAGTTGGCGAGTCTTAACTGTCTATTCCACACATATTTTCATGGCAACTTCTCGAGTGTTCTTTTTTCTTTGGTTCTCCAACTCCATGAATTTAAGCTTGCTACTTGATTGGCAACTAGGTCCCACTTTTTTACTGTTCAACTACCCAAATGCAACCGCCAATTCTACTCATTTGTTCTCGTACTTCCCACCTGTGGAAATTCCTCCGATTTCTTCCTTCAATGATAACTATAATCTTCAAAAAATTAGATGCAACCTTCATCTTCTTGAACTCTTTTCTGTCCTTTCCTCAAATATACTGTATATACTCGCGTATCATGCGATTTTTGAAGACTTAATTTTGGATCTAATTTTAATTTTAAGGGGGCCGCATCGCATGATATAAAGCAGTTATGGATAACGATTTATCCTTGTAGATTAAATAAAGGGTGTAGTTTGAAATTAGCTGTAGGTCACGCAGATCGACAAATACCTAAAAATGGCCGGCGAGAAGAACGGCCGAAATGTTTAGGAAGATGAGGACATGAATTCGAATGTAAATAATGTAGATAATAACGTCTCCCTATTCTAGAAATTCTAACCCAAAAATATGTATTCGTTTCATTTAGTGCTTTTATTTTATTTTTTTATTTTTTTATCTCATACCAATGTGCTGTCCTTGGATTTTATTTTTTATTACTGAAAAATGATTTCTTCTTATTTTAAAGCTTATATATATAGAAAATGAAATGATAACGTGTTCCACTTTTGTGTTAAGCAAAAGATTAAAACCTTTGAACTCTTTTTTCTTTCATTCTTCCATTTTGTTTTGGTTTTTTATGTTTTGAATTAGAAGTAATTATATCTCTTCAACGTTATTTGACCTTTGAATAAAAAAATTTGTTTTTTTTCCCTATTATTGTTCTCCCAATACAATTGCTGGTTATGAAGATATGTATGGTAGATGACTGTTGACTCTGCTCATAAAATATATCTTTTTATTTATTTATTTATTTTTGTGCCGCTTATCCTTATGCAGATTATTTAAAGACAACATATTTTTAGATTTAAAAATGTTTTGGAGATAATAAAGATTTACAGATATAAGTCCTACTAATTAACCCATAGCTGGGGGAGATGAGGTAAATTCATACTTTTCTAAATGTAAGTAAATATAACGAACCCGACTTGGATTGGAGCTCGGCTCTCCAATTTCCAATTCCTAGCCGTTATCTATTACACCACCCAAACATCCAAGCTTATAGCACCAGGTATTCCCATCTTGGTACCAACCAGGCTCTAGCTTTCTTAACTTCGGTGATCATACGGGAACCGATGTTTTAACGTGATATGGCCGTAAGCCTTTTTGTCATTTTAGTTCTTTCAGTATTAACTGCTGCACCGTTTTCACTCAGATCGTGGATAGTGCAAGTATTTTTTTTCTGTTAGGAATAGCGGAACGTTATTTATTTTTTTTTTTTTTTTGTCTGGCTTGACAAAACGATGATTCGGTTTATTCGGTAAAAATACTTTTTTCTTTTCTTTTTTTTTTTTTTGAGCTTCATTGAACAATATATTGATATTTTATACCAATATTTTTGGCTCTCTTTCAGATGATTTCATAAGCCCATCTTCCTGAAGAATCTTTATCATTCTCAACCTAAAAAGAACTGCCCGAGGTGCATTTTCCCGTCATTTGAAGAATTTGAAATTTATTTTAACAATATGATTCTTTAGCTATAATAATAAAAGCCACTCCTAATTTGTAATATCTACTAAAATACAACGAAAAAGATGAAAATCTTGTCGACCAAGATGGAACAATTGTCGCCTGGGACCAAACAAATATTTGCTTTATCGTTATTCTGATAGGGTATTTCCCATTTCCTCTTAACTAATAAGTAATGTATCTGTCTCTATTTCTGAGATGAGGTATTATGTATACTATTTACATTATTCGAACTATTATCCTCATCTTTGTTGCCATATATATCACAACGTTTCGGCCGTTGTACGCTCCGGCCTTCCTCATGTGGTTGGAATGTCGAACTGAAAACTTTATTTCGCTCGCTGAGGTAGACTGTTCTAGTTCCACGTGCCATATCAAATGAATAAGGTAAGGCTTCAAGAACACCAAAAAGCTGTAACACGTGGGGAAGTGCAAAAATCAGGTGTGGCTAATGACATATGGAGAGAAAATAGAGATCTCCCCCTTCTTCACATATGGAGAGAAAATGGAGATCTCCGCCTTCTTCATGTGGTTGGAATGTTGAACTGAACCCTTTATTTCGCTCGCTGGGGTAGACTGTTCTAGTTCCACGTGCCATATCAAATGAATAAGGTAAGGCTTCAAGAACAGCAAAAAGCCGTAACACGTGGGGACATGGAAAAATCAGGCGTGGCTGATCTCATATGTAGAGAAAATTGAGATCTCCGCCCTTTGTGGGATCAGGTTGAAATCACAAAGAACATCATTGGAAAATTCGTAAACTTAAGGAAGCAGCATATATGCTAGGCCACAAAAATCTCCTGAACCGACCAAGCATAGAAATGAATACAATATGGTAATCGGTAATAAGGAGTGCCAGAGAAAAGGAATAATAACAACGAAAATTGTAATGTGAGCTCTGGTAAAAATCATGCAATGATAACAGCAAAAATTGCAATATGAACACTGGTAAAAAACGGTTGTTTAAGACATGTTCATAAGGACATATGGCACAGTGGATAAAGGTGTTAGTTAGATCCAGTAACAGAACCCAATAGAGTTGTGAGTTCAATACCTGGTTAAGTGAGTGCAGAACTTTGAGAGATGAATTAAGAGGAGATAACTGATAAATGACATCCATTAGACATGGCATGTGAAACTAGAACAGTCTACCCCCAGCGAGCGAAATAAAGGGTTTAGTTCGACATTCCAACCACCTGAAGAAGGCCGGAGCGTACAACGGTCGAAACGTTGTGATAAATATGGCAACAAAGATGAGGACAATAGTCCGAATAATATAAATAGTGTAATAGCTAATGCTTTTCAGCGATTTCTGCTTTCAGTTCGTTCAACTAGGAGCAGTACTTGGTCGAATGAACCGTACGGTTCTCTAAAAAATCTGATGGTTGAAGATGCTCTTTTAAACCCATTATATACAGAGTGGAGTAATAGTTAACAGTTTGCTCTGAGAAATCGGAGAGCCGAGTTCGAAATCCAGTTGAGTTCATTATATTTATTTACGTGCTAATACCCTAGGAAAAGGAATCCATCTCTTCTCCCCACCCCCAGATATGGGTAAAATAGTAGAACAGATTGGGTCCTATGACCTTGGGTGGCAAATAATCTAGGAGATATAAAAATTCTGAATTCAGACCACCTCGTAAAGCCTGTCTCTTTGGGCAAAGAAGGTAACTTTTTAAAAAATCTACTTCTGAGAAGAGGGACGTGATAACCTCAACGTCCGCAAAAGGAACCGGCTAGTCTTTGGACTATTCCGCCTTGAATGTCACCATGAGCCACAATACTGAGATGGAGGGGAGTGGTGACCACAGCGACGGCGCAAAATTCGCTGAATAAAATGAAATGATATACAAAATAGATTAGATGAAGATTTTTCTACTGTGCATCTCGAGATTATTAAAAAAAACACAGAGAAGGATCTGCAATACAAACGATCCTGACCGGGCATCTCATCTTCAGTCACTTTCAAAACGACGTGGCGAGTCTTAACTGTCTATTCCACACATATTTTCATGGCAACTTCTCGGGTGTTCTTTTTTCTTTGGTTCTCCAACTCCATGAGTTTAAGCTTGCTACTTGATTGGCAACTAGGTCCCACTGTTTTACTGTTCAACTACCCAAATGCAACCGCCAATTCTATTCGTTTGTTCTTGTACTTCCACCTGTGGAAATTTCTCCGATTTCTTCCTTCAATGATAACTATAATCTTCAAAAAATTAGATGCAACTTCGATTAGATAATTTCCAGAGACGGTTGATTTCGCAGACCCCACGTGAAGTTATTTGTGCTACATGATCACTTAGCCGCGGTATTTCGGAAACTATCAACGCTACATGATCTTGAAAAAAATGCATCCTATATTCTCTTACATGTGTGAGTTGGTCGTGTTCACCTACTTTCCTATCCACTTTGGATTTGATACGCCTGGTTTTAAAAGGATTTTACATTATGCTCGATAATTAAAGACATTTCTTTCTTTTTGCGAGCGGTCTAAAAGCAGCTAACAAAAGATGCAGTTTCAAGGCTTCAAACAAATCCTTTTCATAAGCTTATGTTTATCTTTCTCAGCCTATTCCAAAAGCTTAATTCGAGGTTCTTGAATCCTTCCAAGTTGACCCCACAGACTGGTATTTTCTTTTCAAGACATCGTAGAAAATGTTTCGTTTCCATATGGCCTTTTCTGACCTTTTACCTAAGCCGATTTTAAAATTTCTAAAAAGTCAAATTTGTTGTTTATTTTTTTATTATTGAAAAATGATTTCATCTTATTTTATAGCTTATATATACCAGATGAAATGACAACGTGTTCCACTTTTGTGTGAAGCATAAGATTAAAAACTTTGAACCCCTTTTTTCTTTCATTCTCCCTTTTCGTTTTGGTTTTGATTTTTTGAATTAGCAGTAATTATATCTCTTCAACGTTATTTGACCTTTCAATAAAAAAATTAGTTTTTTTTTATTTTTCCCGAAATACAATAGCTGGTTATGAGGATATGTAGGGTAGCTGACTGTTGACTCTTGACTGGAAGATATTAAGATTGTAGCGATCTGAGAAGCATCCCCTCCGGAGTCGGCTGCTCAAAGTAGTATTTATCGGGAAGAAGCTGTCCAAATGGAACTTTTTTTTCTTACGAATGGAAGACGAAGGTTGGGGGGCGGGGAATGAGTCTATGTCCGTGTCATGGTCGGTTCTAGCAGTAAGTGGAACTAAGAAATGTACCTCGTCTGAACATTTACAATGAAAATAGCAAAAGAGTAATACTGGCAACATTGTTTCTGTAGGAAAATGGCTGTAGAAAGGAAAGCAATTAATTACTCGCACGATGTAGCATTGACACTCAGGCCAGACCCCAGGCGCATTCTGAGGGTGCAGTTTCTTCCAGGCAAACGCTTGGGCATTAAAAATAACTCTTGCGCCAGATCGTCAGCGACGAAGTAAAACCACGAGACTATTGTAGTAGTAGGTAATTTTATTATGTCTAAAACCTACTGCCGTAAATGAGTAAGACAGAGATGAATAGAGTTGAGGGAAGGCGAACAGTCTAACGGGCGTCTTCAGTTTCGTGTCAGTGTGAGGCGGTCTCTCCTCACTCGCCGTGCCTTTGCTTGGGTCTCTCTGTTTTCCGCTGGTAGTGACCACTGCCTTATAGAGAACATTGTTCTTTGTCTAAAAATAATTTATCAAAGTCTGGCTTCATTCAATGGGCCTTCTTTGTGATGGTCGTTTGTCATGGTCCTTGTGAGATTCACTTCATTTTGCTGATCTGGATAATAAATGTCTGAAACAATTTTTGTGGCCGCACATTTAACAAGTTATCGGTTGACACCGATATCGCTACAAATGCTGCATAAACGTTTTTGAAAACTATTAAGGCTGGGCTGTGATGATTATGAAGCTCCAGAAGCGATACTCCATTTTTGGTCTAATCTGGCTCTTGTAAATCTAGAGCATGGCAGCTGGAGACATATTATTATTGATGTACATATTATCAACTAGAAAGTTCAGATTTATACAGTGTTCAAGGGAGATAACTTGATTAGGGTGGAAAGTAGGCACAAGGAGAGTTTAAAGATCATTCAGCATCTTTAGCGGTGGATGAATTCTATTTTATGTCAAGAGAGTGTCTGAGCCCCAACTGACGTTCAAGGTAAGAAACCTCATTGAGAGAACACCCAACAATCATGATAAGTTAAAGATGGGGGTCTGTTCGGTGATGAGGAATCGTTACTCGCTTGATTTTGCAGGTATTAAATGTTTTCTCCCATTGACCTGTTAGAGCTTGATCAGGGGATAGATGAGATACCTACCATCTAGATTTTGGGAAGTGTACCCATAAGCTGCAGTGTTGTCTCTGTATATATTATTTGAGAATTTCTTAAGTAGATCGTTAATATAAATCAGAAAAAAGGTAAAAGTAGAAGAGAGACTTGCGGTCATATCATGGGCTTCAGAGCACTGGCTATTAACAATGAAGTTCATGAACCTACCCAAAAGGAAGGATCTGATAATTCTCTTCCAGTGATATCATAGACGAAGAGCTTTTATTGCAACCCTCACATCTTGTAAAACGTCTTTGAAATATCGAAGGCGATCACTCTCGTCATTTAAATATTTTAAGCGCTTTATTAAT